TTTAGTAGTTCTGTAAATAGTGATATGACGATCGGGCGACTGAGCTGGAAAGTTTATAATTTTTCTCGGTGTGCTCAGACGGTTAGAAGGTACATCATAACATCAAATGTCGATTTTGGTGAACAGATACGGATAAGGATGCATATATAATTGCCCTAAGTGTAAAACCTGTTACAGAGGTGGAAAGTTGATCATCGGATATCATAGGAATCTTTAACCACTTCCTATAACAAATATGGAAGTTGAATTAAATAGGAGTGACGATCAGTGGGAAGGATCGACATTGATTTGGAATTTCAATTTTCCATATGGAATCCGAGTGGTGGATTGAGAAAGATTGCTTGAGGACATAAATTTAAGTGATGCTTATTTTAGAACTTCATAATAGTTCTATAGTTCAGTGATAGTGGTATTATAGCATGTGGATGTCTATATTAGTGGATGCAAAGTGCTATTTCGAAGGAGCTTTATGAAGATTTTGGAGCAGCAGCTCTACTTCATATCTATAGACAGAGGAATTAATCAAGAGATTAAATTAGACCATAAAGGATATGTTTGAGGCGTATATCCTAGATTTTCATGGACAGTTGGAAGTGTTTACTTCACTTGTCGGAATTTTATCTGTGATATTGTTGGCATAAGGAGGTTAGTGTGACAACTTTGGAGGTTTTGTATCATTCACAATGCATACCTCTCATTTGTTGGTTGGAAATGGAAGTATGGGTTGTACAATCAGACATTGACTTCATTTAAAAATATGTCGGAAAGAGATACTTCCCTTTGTATTGAACTGCGCGCGGTTGGGAAGCGACAGTGGGATGTTGTAAATAGTTGAACTCGTATACTAGAGTTTTTCTATCAGGGAGTAGTTTGCTCGTTCTGTTTTCCATGTAGGAAGAAAGACGATTTTTGGAGAAAAGTCAATTTTATTTATTACATTGACTTTTAGAGGATTGTGTTTTGCAATTGAGGCAATCGCCTCTAAATTAGCGTTACCAAATTATTAGCGCTGGGGGCATAGGATTTTGTGCGTATATTCTATGGCACTTGGAGGCATGTAGATCATTCCCTTGTCGACATGGGAGGATTACGTTGTTGTTTGATACAACCTATGCATTGTATGATTATTGTGTTTTTTAAAATATAGGAACCTTGTATACCATTTGGTATATTGGAGTTAAATGGAGCCCTCATAGCGAGGTTGCATCTACTTAGGACTAGGAGGATATTTTTTGCTCACAGTTTCCAAACATAATGGAAGAAAGTAAGGGCGAATTCCGAGGACAGAATTCCTTTTGTTAGGGGGGAAGAATGTAATACCCCTAATTTTAAAAGGATAGACTCGGTATTTATTTATTTGTTTTAATTGTATTTTTAATTATTAATAATAATTTTGATTATTTGACTAATTGTTTATGTGTTTAATTGAATTAGATATTATTTGATTATGTGTCTATGTATTATTTGTATTTGTCTATGTGTTAATTGTTTAATTAGATTATATGCTTAAATGGTGTTTTGATTAATTGTAAATTAAATGTTTTCTTTTCTTTTATTATTTTATTTTATTTTTCTTTTATGGTTATGGTTAGTAGTAATGGGTCAACCAATTGGGTCCCATGGACTGCTTGGATAGGAGGTTGGATGCGTATGAATTATTACCCGTGGATAGTTGTGCATAGATATATATTATATACATATATAAAAGGGAAGGTAATTTATTAATTACTTTTATGGTAACTTGGATAGTAATATTTAATCTGATATATATGTTTTATATTTAAATAATAAAAATACACATAGATTTGATACGTGTTATGTTATAAGTTACTTTATAATATTATGTTAACTTAAGTATTACTGGATAATCCATTAATAAATAATGGAATGTGTATAATTTATTTATTTAATAAAGATTTACATAAATTATATACGTAACATATTTTACTTACCTTTTTAATATATATAAAATGGAAAGTAATTTATTAATTACTTTTATAGTAACTTGGGTAGTAATATTTAATCTGATGTATATGTTTTATATTTAAATAATAAAAATATACATAGATTTGATACGTGTTATGTTTTAAGTTACTTTATAATATTATGGTAACTTAAGTATTATTGGATAATCCATTAATAGATAATGGGATGTGTATAATTTATTTATTTAATAAAGATATACATAAATTATATACGTAACATATTTTACTTATCTTTTTAATATTTTAATATTTATTTTTTTAAGTTGACTTGGATTGGGAAAAGGGTTAGGGTTATTTTATTTAGCCTATAAATATATAGCTATAGGTTGCAAAAGGGGGTTAGAAATATTCACGTGATATATTCTAGAGAGAGAGAGAGTTAGATAGGGAAGGAGGAAAAGGAAGGAAAGAGGAGAAAAATCCTATAAAGAGAAGATCAAGGAAGAAGAAGTTTAACTTTCGATCCGAAAGGTTAAGGCAAGTTCTTCTTCTATCTCTTTCCCTTTGATTCGTATTTCTATGCATGCCTAGGAAATTTCAGGATTTATTAAACACATAAAATTAAATAATTATGCATGTTTAATTGGATTAGAACATAGATTTTATGAAATTGGTTCATATCTGTTCTTGTGTTATGAATTAATAAATGCATGATTTTGATTTGATTTCCGGTGTGAATTTTTATATGTTTACATTATGTATTTTTCATATCTGTGGAATGATGGAACATAGAAACATGCCTAGGATTCCTGAACATTAAATAGAAACTAGGTTTGGGTTTAAATAAATTTAAATAGACTCAATTATAATGATACTTTCTATTTGAATGTTTTAAACAAACGAAGGTATTTAATCTTTTAAAAATGTTTTAGCAATTGAGATTAAATGTGTAGGATGAATTGGATATGGAGAATGCTTATTTAATGGTATAATAAAATATCATCATGTATAAGATTCAGTTTATGTAGGACATATGATATAGGAAGCTTAAATAAATAATAAGTCATTCCTATTATGTGATAACTTGATATCATATTATCATGGTTATTTCTGAAATATTTGATGTATTTCAATTGTTACATCAATTGTTGGATTGTGTAGTTTAATGCACCGGTATGGGACGGTGGTATTCTAGGGACGAATTAACTTATCAGTTAAGTCCTACCTATTTTATATAAGAGAATGGATAAACTAAAATGTTAAGTCCTACCTACATTCAAGTCAGGTCAGCTGAATAAGTTGAATGACTTATGGAGGATTAATTTATTATATAAGGGAATAGATTAACTAAAATGTTAAGTCCTACTTATATTCAAGTCAGGTCAGCTGAATAAGTTGAATGACTTACGGAGGATTAATTTATACTGGATAGGATGGTTACTAAATTATATATATATAAGTATGGTACCATGTTATGAGCTTGAGTCTCAGGATCAGTGGTTAAGGGGCGTATATCGCCAGGGATGTGTAGCTAGATATAATATAGCTGTGTACCCTGGTAGGTCTAGGTACTCATGCCCACTATATGTGCGCTTTGCATGTTGCCTACTATTCAGGTTGAGACAACCCTATAGTCTAGTGAGGTTCCTTTAGTGTGTGTGTGTATATATATATATACGGATTACTAGTTACTGTTGGATTGACTAGGATGTATACGTGTATCGGATCTCTGCTTGGACTGTAGTAGAGTAGAACTTGTTTGTGGGCCTGACCCACCATTATTTTTCAGGTGTTCGTCAAGAGTAGAGATTGTTCGTGCTGAGCAGGGATCAGTCTACTTCATTTTTCTAATGCTACATAGGAGTTCCTTTATGATTCAGTTTCCTGATTTAGATAGTTATTGCTGTCATTTGTTTAGTTTGAATTTTCTAGGGGTCCACGCAGTATGGATTCCCGAGTTGTATTTTGGAAGATCAGTTGTATCAGAAGAGTTTATTAATTAATGGAAATAAATTATGAGGTTTATTATTAGATTATCATTTTAATTTCTTATCAGCATTTTATTTATTCTTCTTTATTCTTTTGTACTCTGTGTTCCTTTATTGCCGATTTGTTTTTGATATCCTCGGGTATTCGGGCGTGGGCCTGGCCAACCCGCATTCGGAAATCCGAGGGTATCACAATCGTTAACCAACTTTGACCGTTACTGAGACTGGTGGCAGGGGGCAATGTTTTACAAATGTATTAACTAGAAGGGATGTAATTGATATTATCCAACCGAGGGAGGAGCAGTGTGTATTTTTACCTAACTAAAGGGGAGATTGGTGTAATTTTCTCGTTATACCTAACTAAAGGGGAGATTTAGTGTAATTTTCTCGTTATATTATACGAGGCAACAATTAACACTGACCTGAAAACTACTTTGCATTTCTAACGTAAAATGGTTGTTGGGTTGCCAAGTATTAGAATGACGATTTGGATACAAGCAGTCAAGCACCACTTTGTACAATTATTGCTATATAAACACCCCACCTCTCCCAGCACCCCCATATTGCAGTAATCAACACTAGTCACTAGGTAAAAGCCAAATAAGGTGCTACATATATCCCTTAAACGTCTATTAAAGGATCTTAGATGTAAAGTAAACCTGAAAAAGTTTACAAAAATAATAATTGTGCCTTTTCTATTCTTATTTTTTGGAATATCCAAGAACTTAAGCGAAAAGACTACTAAAAGACCCTGAAGTCAACCTCACCAGGCATGTACAGACAGAGCATTAAGTTGTTATCAGGAAGGGGGGGGGGGGGGGGGGGGGGGGGGGATGACTCATCCCATGAAAAATAAAAAATGCGAAGACTTTAGCATCACATGCATTTTAAAACACTGTGAAAAAAAAAATACGAACTAATTGTGGAGACCATCTAACATAACAGACATCATAGAGAACTTTAAAGAGTAACATATAGCAATATGTGCAGCCCCTGAAGCATAATAAGTAACATCATACTAATATATTAATTAAAAATAGCTATTTAAGGGAAAAAGTAGAAAAGAATGGAAGAACCTAATATTTACCACTTCTCATCAAACATAGATGATATCTCCTTCCAGACCCCTTCTTCCAATAGCAAATAGTTACCTTCTACTATCACCACTTTGTGCCTGCAAAGAGGGGGGAAAAAGGGTTGAACATTGTCAATAATTCCTCAACACTGCAACTACTTTTACAGTATCTGGCCCTACAACATGATTAGAAACACAACAATTGCCAGATAACTCGACAAACAAGGCTACAAAGCCTCACTCACTACAAATACTCTAGGGACTAGTTTTAGGGAGATTAATCATCAAATATAAGGATGCAAAGACAATAACTGGGCCAGCCACAAGTCACAGCTAATTCTGCATTTTCAAAAAATATGCATGGAGTTCAAGGAACTGAAATACTACTAACAAGACCAATCATTCAGAGTATAAAGTTCTTGGGGGGTTTCAGGTTTTTAGAGAAACCTCCTGCCATCATCCCTAACCTTCCAACATGGCAATTTGTAGTAATCAACCTCCAATACTGGTCCCAGGACCACCATGTACCTAAATCTTGGAATAATCATCCCCTCTTTAAAGATGTCATAAATTAATATATTTGGCTTCATTACAACCCATAACCCAACTGTTTTCCCTCCTTTCAGAAATTTTGTCATAATAGCAGTAGAATTTGTCCAATAAGAATGATTGTCAGACCATTAGGTGTGCATTAGATTGAAAAATGCAAGTGACATTCAAGTGGAAAAATTCTTTATTTCTCTAATTGACAGTGATAAGGATCAAACCTCTAACACTCTCCCCCTCCTTTAGGTATCATACCAACCCTTTTAACAATGAGTTTAGCATATATATATATATATATATATATATATATATATATTTAAAAAGTGTTGACTTCATTCCAACCCATAACCCAAAAGGTCCATTCCTTTTTTTAATTTTTTTGGCCTAAATTTTAAAGATCTATTGGCCTTCAGCCAGCCAGTCCAAAAGAATCCACAAAGGGTACAGCTGCCCTTGCATTGTTAATTTCTTAGATCTTCCCATTAATCACAATCCAGAAATCCCCATATCAACAACTTCGAATCCCAATTTTCTGTCGTCTTTTGGATTTTCTGTCACCCTTAATATAATTGAAACTAACAGTAAACTGCTAAACTCTGTCATGCTAAAGTCAAAAGAAACCTATATATACTTGTATTCATCAAATTGCTCACATATTTTCCGATGTCCATACGTGGAAAAGACAAAACTCTACATCCTTAATTACTTGATAAACTACAAGTTCAAAACCATCAGAGATCAGCAATGTGAATCCTGTTCTATTGTTCCAATTCATAGAATCAATTCCCGCTTTCAGTAGAGAGTACCAATGGTACAAAGTTCATCTCTCAGAAAAAACTAAATACATTTGAACCAATCACAAAAAGACTATTTCTGTTGGGCCACCAGCAGTTAGCTTAAGTAGTATGTCCCACCTCTCCCAAAGAGGGAGGAGCAGGTTTGTTGAAAAAGGTACTCTTGCATAAATCTATATTTGCTTCTGATGGGAAAATGATTCTCAACAGTCCTTATCATAGCAGGGCATTATGGTTGAATATTATTTACCATTGTCATAACTCATAACTGTTAAAAATCAGCAACAAGAATCCTGGTTGAACCACTCAGTCCACCAAAATGCTAAGGCATTTTGGAAGGTTGAACAACAACATTGAACACTAGAATATGGCAATGGCTGTCAACTTTCCCTTCCCTGAAGAGATGTGAGAAATCACAATATTCTATATTCTTCCAATTAAAACAAAGACTTAAAAGAAATATGAAAGCCTTACCAGCAATATGAAATTCAGACAACCCAATTGCTTAGCTCTCATTACAGAATTCATAGTAGTACCATAAATATAACAACATTGAACCAAACAACAGTAATATACTGCTACATTCTAAACATTTAATATTCACTACACCAGGAATCGAATTGATGATATTATGTCAAAGAGTTACAAAGAGATAAGGGTAGAGTTATTTGTATCCTACAAACATCTAGCAAGTTTCGAAGGTTGCATGATCAGTGTTATCCAATTCTGACCATATGAATAAAGATTCAGGCATCTCTATTTGATATCCAAACTTCGATTTCATTTTAAGCATGACAATATTATGATGAACTTTTGACTGAATCTGTTCAAAAGCTTGTTCAATTAAATTAATGATGAAACGTTCTTATTCCAAACAAGTTACACATTTCAACTTCTGAGACAATTTAACCCATCTACAAAGGCTCCTTTTTTCTTTTCTTTTCTTTTCTTTTTAAAATTTGTCTTTTCTTTATTCTTGTTATTTTGCAATACGCTAGGGGTTTGCAGTCTGTATCCAGTGGTCCATCCCAACAACCCCGCCTAGGTGGGACCACCAAAAGATAATGAATTAGCTCATCCATTCTGTGCTACATGATGATACCACATCACAGTTATTTACAGGTTGGTTGCCATTTCATACACCCATATGCATTGCAAATTGAGATCTGCAACGATGCCCATTCTATTAAATAGACAAATGCATGATAACCATTAGATTTATGGAAAGGAGTCACAGGAAATGCAACAAATTATCCAATGCCTTAAGATATCAGCAGATATTAACAAAAGATTATTGATGCAAAAGAAACAAAATACTTACTGAAGATTCACATAGATATCATCTTCTATTGGATCTCCAACACCATGGTCAAACGATGGAGCATAAACCGATCCCTGAAGGAGTCAATACTCATCAGAATGAAATACAAAGAAAGAAATTTATAATATATGCCCCGATCTGTCTAATGCTTCTCTCTTTCTTGCTGACAGGCAACATACTTCAAGGTAGTATGGTAGAGAACCCCAAAAAAGGTGTGCCGTTTCTATCTCTCAAGATATGTTTAAATACTTTCTGCCTCAATAACTACTCACCTGATTCCTCAAAGTCTCCAGACATGTTAGCAGAAGTTTAGGATCAAACGTCCACGGAGCTGATTCACCAATGAAAAGAGCAATACTTTTAATTGTACAAAGTTTCAAAAGAGTGATTACAAGATAAATGAACCTTACCTCCCCTTCTTGCATGGGCTTCCTCTGGATTCTAAAACACAAGAACATAGCTTAAATAATTAGACATGCCTAGAAAGTTCAACAACAAAACCTGCTGACTTGTGCATATGTTTGTGTGTGCTTTCACATGTATCCACACACGCACACACATATATCACAGCATACTACTGATTACTTCATTCATGATTAAAAATAAATGCATCATTATATATTGTTAGTTTTGTCTACTATCAAAAAAAATATCCACTTAACTAATAAAAATATAACTAAATAAATAAATTAAAATTTAGACATACAACCTTGTGGTATATATTTTCCTCACAAACCACCATCAACCAACATAAAAGGCTTAAGAATGTCATGATCGGAATCAAACTCATTCTTTGTTGTTTTTGAATAAATTTGGGCCTCGGTCATTACTTACCATATATATTTTATTTAATAAAATATTACCACAATTTTAGAATTTGTGAATCAACATCTAACTTTACCAGGTAGTTGATCAAAAGCCAATTAGAAAGAGGGAGAGAAGATTCCTAAAGTTTGTACCCAAAAACTTGATGTGTTGATACTTGCATGATGATTTGGTACTTAAATGCATCAAATTTATTTCTAACACACCAGCAAGTTTTGATTCGACTCTTCTTTTAACCAAACACCCCATAACTAAATAAATGCAAAAGAACAGAACCACTGGTAAAATTTACAACTGTTAATAAAGGAGGGACAACCTGCATTGCATCCAGCTGGTGACGATAGAGGTGAAATCCATCCATGGGAAGAACTGTAGTGACATCTGGAGGCTCAACTTGAGAATCGAAGGAACAAGATTTTTGGGGCCATAACTTGTTAACACGGTGAGCTACTTCAGATGCAAGGGTACTCTTTCCAGCACCAGGAGGGCCAGCCAGACCCACAATATACCTACATGATATTTCAGTCAGAAGACTGATTAGCAAGCTCTGCTTAAATTAAATACAGAAACGAAGGAAAAAAGTCGTCTTTACAGCAATGCTAGTGAATAGAAACACTAGCACACATTTAGGCATTAGTTATATTGCAGTTTCTGGTCCCTGCAGTGCAAAGAGTACCACACAGAAGCATATGGGACAACAATTACAAATTGAATTTGAGAACTACGGGGAAAAAACAAGGCCACGAGCATGTAAGGTTTCACTTGAGTAGGAGCACCAAGTATTGCATAAACTCCCAGAATTTAATGTCACCGTGTACCATCTAATCAAATTAATGCTCTTGCGCTTTCAGTTATAAGAAAAGTGAATATTATACAGCATCATACATTATCAATGAAACAATATTATACAGCATCATACATTATCAATATTATACAGCATCATACATTTTGAGGTGGTATTTTTAGCAACTTTTTAAGTTCCTTGCCATGAGCAATGTTTTTCATCAGGGAAATTTATATTAAACTTCAAGTAAGGTATTCTAACTAAAGTTAAAAGGTTGATATTCATGATCATCACTCTCCAGCAAGATGCCAAAAAGGAAATGGGAAGGAGGTGGAAAACGAAGGGATGATTACATGCCTTACAAGTTGTAACAAGAGTACATGGCATGGAAGTTTTCTTTATTATGAACATTAAACCATGCCTCTAGATAGAGCAAAATTGCAGGAAATCAAAATATGTTTGAGCTCCATGGTTTAGAAAGAAACTTTTGATTACTTGAGTGCATGTGTGCCAAACAGCAACATCAAGTCGAAAGTACCAAAAATGCATTATTTCCTAATTCAATAACTTACTTTAAATGGGGATTTGATGCAGCTGCTGCTGTTGGAACAAGACGATCAGCCAAGGCATCATATATCTCATCCATACACCTTGGAAGGAAAAAGAACCAACAATTACTCATAAAATACTGAAGCTAAACACACCAGAGAGACGCACACATGCATGTGTGTGCCACGTGCATGTCTAATTCTCTAGATCTAACCAGGAAAGAAGCGGTCAATAAATCCACTAATCACTGCTCCAGCAAGACTCCATAATTTGTATTTATAAAATAATGTGCAGAAGATATTTTCCAGTGACTAAAGATAGGACAAATTCACATGCAATAATAATAATAATAATAATAGAGCAGTTTCGAATGCAGAATTACTTAATCCAGTAAACTAAAAGCTAAAGGTTCGTGTAGATATATTGCCCAGATGAAATGCTAATATTTCATTGTGCATCTCTTCCCCTCACAGAAAGCGAAGGAAATTAACTTTACAATCCTTGTTCGTCAGGAAAAGGATTATTAGTGATGTGTGAGGCTGGTTCTTTGTCACAGATGTACAAAGGAGATTCAACTCCCAATTCCTTGAAGCAAAAACCCTAAACAATCAATTTGCATGCAGTGCCACGTGTCAAGCTCCAACTTGACCTTTCAAGTCCATATTCCCTCACTCTTGGAGATGACAAGTTAATCCGACAAAGAGAAAACCCAGTAGCAAAACTGACCTAGACCCATCTACCTTGACCCAAACAAAACCCCAAATAAACAGGTTTAGGCTAGAATTTTTCAGAACCTACAAGGGTTGGTTTGGTTCTCTGTTTTACGCCACAATTGTTCGATATTGCCTGATATCTTCTTTGTGAATCCCAACATTGCCAAAAGCATCCTTGTTCAATTCCTATAAAACAGCTTTCAGCAACATATATGTCAAGATATTCAAGCCTTTAAATCAAGTGATATCACCTCCTCCTTTCCGATGGAGGTTGAGGGGTCTTCAAGTCCCCTTAGGGATGCAATAGTGGGTGGGTGGGTGGGTGGGTGGGTGGCTTGGTGAGAGAGAATTGGACGTGTAAGTAACTTACCTACAAAAAGACAAACACACACCTCAAATCCCTGACTCCACAGTCCACCAACTCTGTGGAGCTCGATGGGTGGGAGCAGGCCTATGAGAGGCAAGGCTCTGGTGCGAGCTACATGTGCTCACAATTTTCACATCGCCTGGTGTGGAAGAGTGAAGTACTATATGTAGGTTCATCGCCCCTTTATGACACAAAGCATTTTAAAACCGTGATGGATGTAATCATGTAAACTTATCAGAACTCCGGAATTAAGTGTGCTTAACTTGGAGTAGTACCAAGATGGGTGACCTCCTGGGAAGGAGGTCTCTGGTCCGGGGAAGCCAAAAGTGGACAATATTGTGTCAGGTAGGATGAGGGCTGTTACAAATGGTATTAGAGCTTGACCCAACCGGAAGTGTACCAACAGGGACATTGGGCTCCCAAGGGGGGTGGAATTGTAAGGCTTGGTGGGCGGGAGCATGCTTGTGAAAGGCAAAACTCTAGTGCGAGCTACGTATGCTCACAATTTCCACATTGCCTAGGTGTGGAATAGTGAAGTGCTATGTGTAGGTTTATCACCCTTCTATGACACAACGCGTTTAAAACCGTGATGGCCACAAACCTATCAAAACTCTGGAGTTAAGCGTGCTTAACTTGGAGTAGTACCAAGATGGGTGACGTCTTGTGAAGTCTCTAGTCCAGGAGAGTCAAAACCCTACAATGTTGCGTCGAATAGGGTGAGGGCCGTTACAAACTCGATACCAAAAGCCGACTAAGAAGTCTCTGGTCCAGGGAAGTCAATGTTGCGTCGGGTAGGGTGAGGGCCGTTACAAACTCGATACCAAAAGCCGACGCGTTTTAAAACCATGATAGCCGTGAACCTATCAGAACTCTGGAGTTAAGCGTGCTTAACTTGAAGTAGCACCAGCCACCAGGATGGGTGATCCCCTTGGAAGTCTCTAGTCCAAGGGAGCCAAAAGCCGACAATGTTGTGTCGGGTAGGGTGAGGGCCGTTACAAACTCGGTACTCTCTCTAAAATTGTCCCTTTTAAGCCACATATTCAAAATCTAGAAGACACTTTTCCCATGCAACCACCACAATCCAACACAACTGGGATCAAGCAATGTCTTATTTCTAGTCTCAAAGGCATCGATGGCTCTTCCTGATTATTAGTCCATGTGAACCAGCCACCCTATAAGTCAAGGAAATCAAGAACATCCTAAAACCCCCTTAAGACAAAAGAAATTCAAGGACATCCCCAATCAGTTGTGATTGACTGCACCACATTGAACTCTAACCCAATACACCACTAAATATAACCAATTCGAAGTAGTAACCACCAAATTAAACCAACATTCTTCCCTATCTGAGTCCAACAGCAAGCCATACACTCCAGAGAACACCTAATAAAAACCATCCTCCTGAGAGTAGTTGTGTTAGCATGCAGCTATGAGTTGAAAAAAACAGAAGCTACCTACAGTGTGATATTAACCCCCATTTAAGAAAAAGAAAAAAAAGTTTGATTACAATCAAACATTGGAAGTGAAACAAGTTCAAGTTTTCCCTCTTTCATCCTGAAAAGATGGCATACCTGGTCTGGATCACAGGAATGTCCTTCTTTTGGATGCATGAAACCTGTAAACAATTCCAAAGGAACAGAACAAAAAATGAACTTATCAAGAAACTAAAAATTATATATCAAAACTAAACAGAAAAAATAAAGAAGAAGAAATTATATTTTAGAAATTGAAATTGAACCTGCACACGATTTTCCTTTCGAACCAGAAATCCTGTTTGACTCAAAGGTCCGTTAGTTCCTTTAATTGGTGACATGCGGAGAGAACCTCCATACCATATAGGCAGCATCAACCTCTTGAGCAACAATCTCTCTGCATATTTTAAAGCATACATAATCAATATATATAGCAATAAGCAAAGCATCACATATGTATAAAAATGTACATGTATTATTCATATATATATATATATATATAGACATATCATCATCATTCATCATCATCCTTGCCTTAATCCCATATGAATGGGATTATACACATAAATAATTTCAAAATTAAAGGCGGCACAACCTAGGCAATGAATCAAGAAAATCACATAAAAACTCATCCAAAAGGAAATGGAGAAAAAGAAATCACATGTACACGCATTTGTGTTGGATATCAAGAAATGTTGGCGAACAAAGAATGGCTATAGAAAAGATTGTACCGCGTCAACATCCTAAACTGGTGAATACCGATGAAACGACCATTTAAAGGCTCCAAGGTCGATGTTCCGACAATGAACCAAATCAAATACAAAAAGAAAGTTCATATATTGAGAATTACTTCAATTCGGATTCATATTAGATCAAATCCTTGTACCATGCCCTTAATTATGATCATAAAATTTAAAAGAAAATTGCACATAGCACACTCCAAACTTATATATTTATATATTATAATATATATATATAATTAGAGAAAGAAACCTGATGAAGAATTGAAAAATCCTTTTGGAGTTGTTGAAATTGAAGAAAGCTCCATTTTGCAGAGTTTTGAGCGAAGGAGTTACAGTAGCGAGAGCGAAGGGTTCAACTGGCGTTATATATATAGGCGTAAGGTACAAAGTGTGTTAAAAAAAAATTTACCCATCTATACAAAATATTATAAAAAGGACCCCATTGAATCACAAATGTTTTTAGTCCGTTGGTTCACGCGCATATGCATTCATGCCCAAAATAATCCTTTTTAAATGACTATTATACTGGACAAAAAAATCTTGAATTATTTCGAATTGCAAATCAAATCTCGAGTTATATAATTTATTTTTGTTATTACTTTAAATTATTATTACTATTAGTACAATTATTGTTATTATTTGAACTGTTTTTTGTTTATAGTTTATTAGCTTTCGTAAACTATTTATAGGTATATAAATCCGTCAAACAACTAATTAAACAATTTATTTTTGTTACTATTATTATTATTAGTTTTTTTATATATATAGTTTATGAACTTGCAAAATTTGTTTATAGGCATATGGATCCATTAAGCGACTAATCAAGCAGTTTATTTTTATTATTATTACTCATGCCACTACTAGTACTATTACTTTTATTATTATTATTAGTTATTATTATTATTCTTATTGTTAATTAGCATGGATTATAAAAGTGATTCACATGTCTTACAACTAAGTAATTTATTTTTGTTACTCCATATTTTACTACTACTACTACTAGTATTATTATTGATATTGTTTATTATTATTAGTTGCAAGATGATTCTGAAGAGTATTATGGGTATTGTACATTTATGTTATTTTATAATTTTTATATAAATTATTAAGTGAAAGTATTTTGGTAATTTTAGTCCTCCCTCGAAAAATATAGTCCAATGATCAAGAGCGTTCATTTTGCAATGCTTTATATAGATGAAGAGTTGATTTACAATCCAGGATAATCCATTGAGTTATTTTGCACTTTTGTAACAGTAAGACTTTTGCTTAAATTATAAGCAATTTTCGCGGTGTCGTAAAAAGTGTATTTTTTTTTCTACGTTAACCCAACAACAACTTAAAACCTCCACTTTCTTCATAGCTTTATTTTTTTAGTTGAGAGTTTACTCGTGGACCTCCCTTTGTTATTTTTATTAAAAAAATTGTTGATTAATTTTAATTTCAATGTCGTTTGCGTAGAAGCACTCAACCAAATGTGATGGACGTAGAAGCACTCAACCAAATGTGATGGACGAATATAAGTGCTTATTTAATTAAGGGCAAAGGGCAAAGGGCAAAGTACAAAAAAAAAAAAAAAAAAAAAAAAAAAAAAAAAAAAAAAAGACCTTCAACTTGTAATTTTTTATAGCAAATTTTCTTGTCTATTTTTTTCCTTTTTTATCAAAAAAACCCTCTTGGACTTGTAACATTTTTCTAATAAATTATTTTTATTTAATTTTTTATCAAAGAACCCCCCTCAACCATTTGAAGGGATAAACAAATTGATATTTGGACCAAAATATTATTTTATTTAAATATTAATTCTCCCGAACTTCAAAAATTCGTACTCCATATTTCACAAATCGTACATTTTAAAATAGTAAATAACATATGCACGAAAAACTAATTTTTTACCAAATAACCCTCCTCAACTATCTAAAGGGGGTAAAAAAGTTGATATTTAGACCAAAATGCCCTTTATTTAAATTTTAATTTTCCCGAATTTCAAAATTTCATACTCCATATCTCACAAACCGTAGATTTAAAATTTGTAAATAATATATGTACAAAAAGCTTATAAAATAAAGATTTCAGAAATATAAAATTTATATAATAAACTTTCATAACCAGGGAGAAATAGGCAATCTAAAAATCTACTCCAACAACCTTATTTTATTTTTAAAAATTAAAATATTCCATATATTTGAAAAAAAAAAAAATAAGAATTATTCATTTACATATGGAGCCAAATATATAAAAAAATTTAGCCCCAACAGAAATCGATTTCATAAGATATCATATTTTGCGTTAAAATATTTCCATTATTTTATAGACTCACCATTTAAAAAATAAAATTAAAAACAAAAATAAAAATAAACTAAATATTCAGTCTCTATTGAGGCTAATTTTTTTAATGTTAGGCTGCATATGAAAATGAATAATTGTAAAAATTTTCTTGCTTTAAATTGTCTATTTCTCTCTGGTTATAAAGTTTTATTAAACAAATCTTATATTTATGGAATCCTTATTTTATAAGCTTTCTGTGTATATATTATTTGTAATATTTGGATGTACTATTTGTGAGATATGAATTTTTAAAGTTAGTAAAAGTTAAGATTTAAATAAAAGGGTATTTTAATCCAAATATTAACTCTTTTACTCCCTTAAATAGTTGAGGAGGATTATTTAGTAAAAATTAAATGAGAAAAATTTATTGAAAAAATGTTAGGGAGTTTTCGTACTTTGCCCTTAATTAGTTACATTTGATCATGTAATTTGTTTTTTTTGTTGATATAAAAACTCACTTCACCACCTTATTCATGAAGAAGTACCTCCAGATTCGATCCAATAGTATGAACTTATGAGTTTATTAAGAACTATTTTAAAAGTCAAAATAATAATCCTGTCTAGTTCCTTTTAAATGATATTCTTGGATGAGATTCAAGAATTAAAACTCATGGTTGAGTGCCATGTTCCGGCTCTTTTGCATAAAGCCCTCCTTTTCTGTTAAAGGCAATGAATGATACAAATCCATCAATTGGTCAGATTTAATATTGACGAGTGGACAAAACAAAACCAACCGTTATATTCAACAACTGTGAACCGTCCGTAATTTTTCTAAACTAAGATATTTTTTTAAACCAGAAGAAAATTGTAGTTTGAAGTGGTTCTTGTTTTCAACACTCTAAATTGTAGTCAACACTCTCAAGGGATCAGACCACCCAGTGATTTCGTTCACCATAAAGGCCCTCTATAATCAGAATCAATTATTGCCTTTGTATTCCAAACATGATCATCCAAACTTTAATGTGTGCAGGTTGACCTTCAAACCAACCCAACCACCACCCCCCCCCACACCCCCCCCCCCCCCCCCCCCCCCCCCCCTTTTTTCTCCTGCTGGAGGCCATTCAGTGATAATTTCTTTATTCACAAACCATTTTGTCAAAAAAATAATGGCTTGGGTTTGAAGCCCTGAATTTAATGAATCAATTCTTTTTTTTTTTTCTTTTTTCTATTTAATGAATCAATTATTTTCCTGTTTTTTTCCTATTTAAAATTCACACCTACTTTGTGTCTATGGACTTCAACCCCCAACCTTAACAGGTACTTTTGAAAACCCAATTTTGTTAGCATAAAAAAATAAAATCTTAACAGGTAAACAAGAAAATGAGACCTGTAACAATTTCTTGGTACATGATCTTTTAGGTTACATCATTCTTCATTCCTAAAGACGGTAGAATGCAATGAATCTGCCTACCAGGCCGTGGACTCGAGCAACTCCGAGGTGTACCCGCCCAAGCAGACACTTGGCATGACACCCAGGGCGGAGCTAGGATTTTAAAATAGGAGGGCTAAAGAAAAAATTCAAGCAAAAGATTTACTGGAGAAAAAAATTCAAACAGAGAAGATAATTTACTGAGAAAAAAATTTATTAGTTCTTCTGATAAATCCAAATATGAAGAAACCCAAATCCAACAACATGATTGAACACAAAACAATCAAAAACCGTTATCCAAAATTTTCAGACAATAATTATAAAAAAAAAAAAAAAAAAAAAAAAAAAAAAAAAAAACCAATTACCAAATATCATTATAATCATAATATTGAAGTTATTTATTTATTTTTTTAAAAAAAAAATCTCCACTAAGATTAAAAAAAGTGAAAAAAAAAAAAACATTGTTGAAGAAAAAAGAAAAGGATTAAAAGCTGAAAAGGGGTTTTTATTTTGCTTGAAATTACACTGAATAGTTTGGTCTTGTTCATGGATTAGCTTTGGTTTGCTGGGCTATTGGGCTGAGCCATTTATCATGGATTGGAAACTTGGGCTAGGCTATAGCTGATAGGACATAGTAGTAGTAAATTTTTATGTTTTTTTTGAACTTGCGCTAATTTTTTTTTTTTTTAGACTTGGGCTGCAACCCAGGTTAGCCCACGAAAGACTCCGCCCTTGATGACACCTGAAACATTTTGACAATGCTTATGACCATTTCGCGCCGGATAAGAGCCCTAGCTTTGAGACAATGCCGAACTTGCCGAGGGTCGCTCCCCAAACGACTTTACAATTGCCTTACCTCTCGCGCCCGAGCTTTAGTCATCTGCTCCCGTCTAGACAAAGGCAAAATCTGACCCTTAACCAGTGAGCTAACGTGATCACATTGAATGGGCTCCTCAATATGCACAGATGCCATATGACTCTGGGATGAGGAACCATGAACCATTTTGCCATCCTGCCCACCCAAAGCAACATCAAGCGGAATAAAATCCCCATCTAACGCCTTTCCTTGGAACTCGTGGGCAGCAAACCCATGAAGAACCACATCACTCGTAGAACAATCCCCTCGACCATCACCCGAAATCAACAAAGTTTGACCACCCACTGTAGATAAAGCCACCACCTCGTTATCTAATTTAACCAGAGTAGAACCATGACCCACAGTAGTAGGCCCATACAGGTGGCAAAATTCCTTCATCCACTCCGACACAAAACGATTAGAAGACAGGGACTTTGAGTTCCCAGTCTCTTCACCACCATCTGAGTCCATTCCTCCACATACAGCCAACTTTTGCCATGACTAGCAGCTGCATATTCACCTCAGTCACTATTCGGATTCCAAAGATCCCTCCCAATGAACCCATCCACCCCTAACCACAAGCCATACTCAGTCAACTCCGCAGACGAGCGAGTCGAACCTAATAGGCACTTCTTCCAATTGTGACCAATAAATCAATTCTTTTTTCTATTTAATGTATCAATTCTTTTCCTTTTTTTTCCTATTTAAAACTCACCTACTTTGTCTCTATAAACTTCAACCCCCAACTTAACAGGTACTTTTGAAGACCCAATTTTGTTAACATAAAAAAACAAAATCTTAAAACGTAAACAAGAAAATGAGACCTGTAAGGATTTCTTGATACATGGTCTTATAGGTTACATCATTCCTCATTCCTAAAGGTGTAGAATGCAATAAATCTACCTACCCGGCCCTAGACCCGAGCAACTCCGAGATGTACCCGCCCAAGTGAGCACTTGGCATGATACCAGATCAAGGATCGAATCAAGCTCTGATACCAACTATAACGGGTCGGGCGCTTACCTTTTGACTCTAAAGTTTAAACTATTAAATAGTGCTACATATCCATCCATATACTCAATCTTTCCCATCCAGATCCGATGTGGGACAAGACCCCTCTAATATCTGCCATCTTTAGCATCGACTCAAGGAGTATTTTAGGTGGAGAAAAAAATGTCAACAAAATGAAAGAATCTTTATTTTCAAGATGAGCAGATTTAATAAACTATAGCAATGAATCCAATGTTTCTGTTCCCCAAGTATTAGTTTAGAGGACTACAAGAACCCTGGGGTTGTGATAAAGAAAAGGGCATCATCTGTCAGGCAACAAGCCCTATACACCATTTTCACAGTTGCAGACCGTTTAGATCAAACAAGTGCACCATGTGTACAGTAACGTCATAAGGGCATGTGTTTGATCAATCCACTAGCACAGTACACCGCCGTTTTAAAGTCCTCCTTTCCTTCTTATCATCATCGGATGCCTTCATAAGAAAACCGAAATCTCATATAAGCTTGAATTTCAAAAGAGGCAACAATTCACACAATATCTAATTATCTATACATTTCAATGAAAAAAGGAATTAAGCAAATAAGACTGATCTATCAGGCCTGGCATGCTCTATTAATGTTTACTTATCAAGTCGATAATATTAAGTTGTATTATAATTGTGATTGTATTGTTATTTGTTAATATACAATATACATAGTAAAATTTGATTATACACATAGGACATGTACATACCAATTTGAAAAAAAGAAAGACTTATATATATATATGGATGGATGTATGTATGTATGTATGCCATATCACAAATTTATAATCCTGTATGGTACTAACCATAGCCATGTTATTTAGTTGTAACATGAGCCGAATGCAGTGGCCAAATTTCATTCCATGAAATTAGCATCTTGTATAATTATATGAGGACAAAATATAGAACATAGTATATCAACAGATCAGCAATCTCAGATACCCTCTGCCAGTCTTATTTCCTTAATAAAGCAACAGCTTGTAGCTGAAAAGGTGTTTCAGTATTACCTGTTCAGTGAAAGAAAATGGGACACGGACTCTCTTGGAGCCATCAGCTGAACGCTTACAAGGAAAATGGTTGTCTACAGCCACAAACTGGCTACAAGCCTGCAAGAAAATACAAGGCAGATGCAATAGTTAAAACTCTTGATAACTGGTTTGGCAGTACATTTCAAGCCTCTAAAGGCAAAGGAAATAAATTTTATATTTCTTGATTACACTAAAAATTTTACATTACAGCTGCAAAGTCAAACTTCAAACACAAATCTAAGTGAGAAAAAATACCACTAACAGGTATATATATATTGAAACTAGACTAACAGGAGATGTTGGACAGGTCTATATATTAGATAAGTGAGATGGTAGTAAATTGGAAAACAAAATCACTTTTCAACATTGCAGACAAAACATCAAATCTTTTATCAGAGTACAATCCCCCCCTTCTACCCAAATGTCCAACAGTAGACTTATGTTATCAGCCCCCTAGATATGAACAGCATATATAAATCCTAGTGATAATGAACATGAAAGGGTGTAGTTTTTACCTGGTTTTGAATGATTTCAACCAGCATATCTTGGCAACCTGATGCATGGACACTTTCTAAACCGGGACACTGAAGTAACAATCTCTCTGGGACCAAAGCAACAAAAAGCTCAGTAAAATAAAATAAAACTTACAAACCACTTCAGATCTTAGACAAGTAATCAGCTAGAAAGACTAAAAATCTGAAAACACACCTGGATGCAAATTTTTACAGGAGTTCAGATTTAAATCACTGAGTTCTGGGCAGTTTAAATACAAAGCCTGCATTCAAATTCATGTGTTCAGAACTTAAGAGAGAAACCGTGTCAACAAGAGACTTCGTACTACTAAGAATAGAGAGATTCTCACATCTAAGCCAGAACAACCCCACAAGCTTAGTTTTTTCAACCGGCTATGTTTGATAATCAGCTTCTGGTAAATAAGGTGCAGTTTGCTGTTGGGTGTTGTCTGTAAATCATAGTCACTGCCTTCTTCAAAGTTTGGGCTTGAGGAATTGGGATCACATATAGTCATCCCACAGTCCATAAGTTCAAGAAGAGGCAATTGAGCTGTGGCAAACTGAATGCCACCTAAAAGATACATGAAGCATTAAAAAAAAAAAAGGTCAAAAGGTAGCCAAAAAGTTGAAATTTCATTTTCTTTTTGTCCTTTTTGGGACAGCTCCTCATTACCCAAAAAAAAAAAATTGCATTTGATTCAGAGTGGAACTTGAAGATTACTTGAAGTGATATTCGGGCAGAGAGCAAGGAGAAGCCTTGATAGTGTTTCAGGGAACACATTGCAAATCATCCCAATGCCACTGTCACTGATGCTAGACCTGAAACCAGAGGTAGAATGAGAACAGCAATCCTGAAGATTGACAAAAACAAAAGGTAAACTACTTAAAATATATGTTGAACCAATTCCTGTAAATATCACAGTCATGCAGAAACGAGTACAGAAAATAGAGAAAACTTATGTATCACCTAATCCCCGGCTTTAATTCCCCAACATTTATACTAAATGCTCAATGTCATTAGAACTAGGGATTGGAAGTTGAAACGCACCCACTTAGGTCAAGCAATTCTAGGTTTGAGTAGCTTGAAGTAATTGCTGCAACAGATGCATCAGTGATTTCTGATCCAAGCACAAGAGAAAGCATTCGCAACCCCCTGAGCATTGGAGCAATAACACACATTTCATCAAAAAAATTATCATGATTTATCTATTACCTGAGTAAAAACATGCAGATCTTCCAAAAAAAGTATAATGTAAAGATGAGAATAGGGGTAAATAGCAAAACAAAGTCAATAAGCTTATATTGCTCCATAAGTTCCATTAATAAGTTATGAACATTAATACCTTTATTGATCAATAAAATGAAATATCAACCGTGTAACAAAAGCATCTAACCTATACCTCAAATCTGCAGCAGTAAGAGCTAGCACAACAGCATTAGAAAGACGAACTGAAGCAATGTGGATGTTTTGTAACCTCGGACAGCTCCTTCCCAGACCATCCACCATGCTAGCAAGATCAGTACTATCATTTTCTTGGCGAGAAAAATCTAGGGAAATCTCCTTCAGATTGGGGCAATTGAAAACCTATGCACATAAGGCAATGTACAAAAGAAATGAATTTAATGCACTGACATTAACAAGATTACAGCATTTAAACCTTAAGAAAGGAAGTTAAAATAGAACAACAATCACCATCTTAGAGAGGGAATGGAGATCCGAAAGCCAAATGGTAGAAAGACTTGATGAACAAAGCATGAAACCCCCAAGGTTTGAACCGCCTTCCATTTTAATGCTTGAAAGATGTCGTTTATCAGCAACAAAACGTCCTAACTCATCCCTGCAACAAGAATCATCCAATTCATTTCTCTAGATAAATTCCAGTAAAGACCCCAATTAATTGCTCTCGGTGGAAAGACTTGTCATTTTTTTACACCAGATAACAGGGTTTAAACAACAATATAAGTGAAACACTAGCAGTGGACTGTCAAAATTCCATGTAAAGTGTTCAAGTATCCAATTAGAAGGTTAACATGCTAAAGTTTGAATGTCAAATCAATTGAGCAAGCAAAAGGTGCCCAGCATAGCATGTATTACAACAAATAGAAGATTGTATGAATTGCTCTCACCCATGGATGCTTCTAATTGAGAAAACAATTTGATCAACAGGAAATAAAGATCCAAATGCAGATCTATAACCACAAAGAAAGAAAAAAAAAAAAAAAAGATGAAAAAAATTCAAGGACTGCGCTTTTGTGGCCTTGTGAACATCACACAAACTTTCCTCAACTAAACAATCACTAGTTTATCATGCAACAAAAACAGATCCATACCAGTTCAAACCCAATCTGAAATCACAGATAAAGATATATGCTTTAATGACCAAGTTTGGCATTCACAAGCATAGATCTAAATCAAACAGAATATACAGAATAGTGGTTGCACAGATTATGTTCTGCCAATCAGCTCTCTTCAAACTTGATGAATCGCATCAATGCAAAAAATGACAAGGGATTGCTTCTGCATGCCAGCCCATTTTTCACCATAAGGAAAATCAATAATAAAGGACAGGAAACTAAAAACATACCCAGTAATCCAATTGACCGATTTATCAGATGAAAAGATCTCCATGGACTCCAGGTTAGGGCAGGAGAAAGCTATGCAGGCCAGCATTGTTGCATCCACATCACTGCAACACCCAAATAGCGAATGAGAAGAACAGATCAAATTCTGATATCTCAATTCCTTAACAATAGTCTTCTTATTTATCTTTAAAAAAAGTAATTTAAAAAAATCATCCAAAACAAATACCATTAGAATTCCACATTCTTAATACCATATCAATCAGACCCAAAAAAAAAAAAAAAAAAAAACTACTTCACAACAATCAATTAAAGCACAATCCGTTTGTGATTTCTTCCATATTATATCACGGATAACCACTGCAAATAAAATCTATTGAATCTCACAGATGCACTCTGACTTCAAATTCCTCACTTGTGCTCCATTTTTAATTTATCTGTATCATATTTATTCCATTTTTATTTGCTTTTTATATACTTTTGTTCAATTAATTTTGGATCCATCTTCTTTGTTTTTTTTATGTTGTGACTCACGGACTCTAGTCCTATCCGCTTCCATATCAATTGATCCATCCAACGAAACCATAGATCTGATAAATAGTCAACGAAAACCCTAACCTTTCCATTCTAAGAGAGAGTCTAACTAGCCCTGGACACTTTTGCAACACCGATCCAGCGAATCCAATCGGAGCCTTGGCCGGAACCCTCAGTCTCAGTTCCTCCGCCGCCCGCCAAAGTCTCCTTGCCGTATCCCTCCACCCTTTACACACCCTTGCCGCCGCCAACAGCGCCGGCGGAGGCAACCTCCTCAGCACCTCCCACATACAACTCGCCGGCAGCTTGCCAGAATCAACACCCGATTCCAACTCCAACAAAATGCAATCATCGTCATTGTCAGATTCCGGATATTCCCTGACATCAATGTCATCGAAAGAGAGCGCTCGCCGGAGGTGGGAATACTGCCGGCGTGGAGGCGGCGGGGGTCGAACGACAGAGAGAGGAGAAGGTGGGGCGGCGGCGGATGAGTTGGAGGTTGTTGGAGTGGCGGTGGTGGTGGCGGGAATGTGACAGGAGTGGCCTTTCTTGGGGAGACCGCATCTGCCACAGTTGTAGCTGCCACGCTTTTTGCCAAACTTGGTTTGACAGCCGTCGGAAATGGGGGAACCGACGTCTGGGGAGGAGGGAACGGCGGTGGCTGGGTGGTGTTGGCGATGGTGCATTTTGATGGTTCTGGTGGATTTGCACTTTGTGCAGACAGTAGAAGATAAGTGATTGGTGTTTGGTGTGGGTTGATGAGAGAGAGAAAGAAAGAAAGAAAGAATGAGAGAGAGGGGGGTTGTGTTGAAATGAGATGGCGAAAAAATAAAGGGAGGGGTCTGGTCTGAAAGGCGCGGGAGATCCAGACATCTTCGCGCCTTAACTTTCGAAAAATAAATGAGAGGAGCGTGGGTGATCTGTTCTACCCTATTTTGCCCTTGATAATAATTCCTAATTACAAAACATTGTTTAATTTAGAGTAAATTGCAAAAATCTTTGTACTTTTCGAATTTGGCAACTAACCCTCCCAAATAATCCCTAATTTATATAAAAGTTACCCAAAAAAAAAAAACATTATATCAGCATTTTTAATAAAATAAATAAATAAAATTATTTTATTAATTTCAAATTGTTATTTTTTTTAATAACAAACACCTTCAATTTATCTAAATTGTAACTACCCTTCAATTTGAAGTGGTCACATGCAATAATATGTGAATTTAATTGTTTTAACAAAAATATTATTGTGCATATAAAAAAAACACCTTCAACTTTCCATTTGTAAATTATAAATAATAAAATGAGCATTACCATCAACTTCTCATTTGTAAAATTAATCATAAAGAATTTTTATCAAATTAATCAACCATGTCAGCTACTTTAATTACTTCCAGTTGTGGGGTAATTTACAATTTTTGGTAATTTGAGGGTACCTATTGTCAAAAATACAAATTATAATAATACTAGAGGGAATATTTTACAATTTTGACAGTGCGATAGATTTAATGCAATTTTGCCTAATTTAGCATAACATGTAATCACTTAATCACGTTCTTATCAATTTAATAGGTACATTAACTCACTTTTAATACCTAGTATTCAGTGTTTATTAGTGTTCGGTGAGCTCTTTCTCACTTTAATTTTTATGTCATTTTAAGTAATACTTAATTACTTATATTACGTACCAAATATACTTAATTAAAAAAATGCTTTAATTTGTTCAAATAAGTTCTAAATTAAGCTATGTGATCCATAAATGTGAAGGTAAATAGTTGGTGTTAAAACTTTTCATTTTAAAATTATAATGGAAAATATAAATTGAATATGCTGATGCACGTTTCTTGAATTGCTGTTTGAGGTGTCTCCTGTAATAAAGAAAATACACAATTTAATTTTTTTGCATATTAAACTTTTAGACAAATTATTAAATAGTCCAGATTCATAGACACTTAGTGGACCGATTCAATTCAGATTATTCGATTAAGAAAAATGATCTCCCAATTGAGTATTAATATATTACAAAAAAATTTCAACAACAGTGTGAATTTACTTACTTAGTTATCCCATCTAATAATTTCTCAAAATTTTAACAAAATTCTAAAAAAAATAATGGTACAACCCTATCTTCAAAAGGAAAGGTTAAGGGTTCATGCCTAGGTGAAAACATGGGTACGTAAGTTTGTTTAACATCAAAAAAATAAAAAATAAAAATAAAATTAAATTCTAAAAAAGGAGTGTTAGGTTAATTACAGTTGTCAATATGGAAATTAACAGTATATCCCTTCTCCAATAACATCGTTCATTTAAGTGATAATTAAAAATCAAAATTTATTTTTATAACTCTTTGAATTTTGAGTAATTAACATTAGTGAAAGTTCAATAAGAAACAACAACCGAAAAAAAAAAAAAAAAAAAAAAAAAATCCTCTCAAGTTACTCTCACTAGATTGGTCCAGTGAAGGGTAAAAAAGTTGACTTGGCGGTTGAGGGAGTTAAATTCATATTTACCACACTTCTAATATATACATGCAACTTCAGTATATAACATATCTATTATTTAATGAATTAATGAAGTTCATTGGTCCCAGTTGGTTGAAATTTGAACATTAAAAAAGATAACAAAACCCTAAAAAATAATAAGAACCCAAGAAAATAACCCATAACAGAAGAAGAAATATATGAAACAATGCAGATATATATAGAGAAATATATGCGCGTGTGTGTGTGCGCGCGCGCGTGTGTGTGTGCTAATTTTGTTTGCCTTGATTTATTTGACGCGTATTTGTGTATATATAAGGAGAGAAGTGGAAACGGAACAACAAAAAAAAAAAAAAAAAGGAATAAAAAAGGGGGAAGAACACGGAATCTTAAAAATAAAATAAATAAATAAGAAGAAGTTGTTCATTCTTTCTCTTTTAGAATGTAAGGTTAGGGGTAAGATTTAGTTTGTGGTGCTATAATTAAAGTTGTTTAATTCGACTAAATCCTACGTAACTATGGTTCAAAATTTTCGATTTGGAGCGAAAATTTGAAAATCGAGTGATTTGGATCTATTTTTTATGTAAGGGTATGTATATTAACCTTAATAACCCATAATTATATGATTTGTTATTCCTTGTAATTTTGTTTGAGTAGCATGTTATGTATACATATTTTAATTTTTTTTAATTGTTTTAAAGTCAGATTATTTTGCATTTTGATTTTATTTTAATTCCAATCAAAAGCTAAAGTTAAATTGTATAATATTATACTCTTTATAATATATATATTGTATGTATAACATATAGAGTGGTATTCGTATATATGGTAAAATAAAGTAAATTTATTTTTTGACTTGCTGACTTAGTGATGGCAAGGTTATGTTGGGGAGGTGGCGTTAATCACCACCGTTAGATGCTTACTTGACCTCATCCGGTGAGAGAGTAACTGGAGATGATTTTTTTCCATATCCACCTACTTTATATATTATGGTTCCACCAAGTTCAAATATTAAATCTTCCCAATCAGGAGAGGAGAGCTATACGAGACTTGAACATTTAAATATTGTTTGATAAATTTGAAAATTAAGTATTTAAAAATTTAATAGTTAAATTTTAAGTACTGTAATTTTTAAGTGGTAATTTTATATTAATTTTTTAAAAATATTTTTTCGAATTTTCAGTGTTCGTTATTCAATTTTAAGTGATGTCCCTATCACTTTACACTTTTGTTTCTGGTGACACTCACCATTTTCAACGATATTCAAATTATGTTATGAAACACACTTATAATCTACTCAAAATTAAACGTTGAGTTGAGTAATAAAATAACATATTAGTGATAAGTACAATTATTATCACTTATACTTGTCTATTTACCGGTGAGTAGTAAATTCATACTTACATGATGTGGCGCAAAATTAATGGTACACGTGTTCCCACGATATAAAATAATAAAAATAAAAAATTTGAGAGATTATTTGGATTAAACCAAATATGATCAAAATCTAACTAAAACAATAACATTTTATCCTGTAATCAACAAATTATCTATCAAACCATGCGAATCAAAATTTATGTAATTGGGTGTACTTTAGATAAAAATAATTGATTATATAAGAATTACACATTAAATCATGAAAGATAAAAGTCAAAACTTTCAGTATTACCAGATTAGGGTTTCAACGGAGTAGTTTGAAAGAGATGAAAAGAGGGAGATAGTTAAATTATGATTTGATTTGCATCATTTTGGTTTAACTCGGTAAGTATTAAAAAATAAATAAATAAAAAATTAATTATTTTCTATTTTAGGAGCACTTTTACGCCACATCAGTAGTAAGCATGAACTTACTACTCACCGGTGAATAAGTAAGTATTGTCCTTAGTTTAATTAATTTTAAGTTAAGCTTAACTTTTAAATGGGGGTGGTAATTAGGTCGATCAGAAACCCATTACACAACCCATTTACATAAAGTCATAAAAAAGATTGGGTAGTATTATGGAATATGGAGGGGCTGTCACAAAATCCGTTACCTAGCCTCCTTTTTTCTTTTCTTTTCTTTTTTATTTTTTCTCTAATTTTGCGTGGTGGTGTGTGTGGTTAAGAGTTTTTGCCCTTCAAAATAGTGCTATATCAACAAGAACTTGTAAATGAAAATTTGATCCTACATATTAAAATACATAATAACAATTTAAATTTAAATCTTGTGGACATGTGACGAGATTGTTACGGCCATTGTGTATATATACCCATTACCCATTATATATATATTCACATGTTTTAATATGAGAAAATTCTTAATAAGTCTTGCTTTTAAGTTGTGTAGGGGATTCGTTTTAGTAACACAATAAAATACATATAAATGGTGATATCGTACACAAATTTGAGTGATCCAAACTACATAATAGAATTTGAGGTGGACTGAGAGAGGTTGAAGCACAGGCAAACTCGAGAGAGAGGGTGAATGTAATAGCCTAGCTTTTTATTTAGGCTTTAAGTGTGATTATTTGTTAGTTTTGTGTTACTGGAGACTATATTATATTAATTTAGGAGTTCTATTCATTTTGGAGATGGGTTATAAATTGAATTTGATATAAATGGTTGGAGTTTTATTTGAGATATTATGACAATATTTACTTAGTAGTGATGGGAAATAGAATTTTATCAAAGTTCTTGTAGTGGATTCCACGTGGCAATTACAAGAGGAGCCTCATTGACGCATATACCTCTTCATGCAACCATATATACACATCTTAATGTCCAGTCTTACACCTATTATTTCCCTTGTTTGATATAAAACTATAAAGACATGTTTGTCCAAGCCATATACTTGCTGGGATTGTCTTCTTTGTTATATGCTGCTAAAGGAAAGGACAAAGGTAAAATAGAGGAAATTAAAGAGATAGAAGCTATGGTCGTGAGAAGAAAATAAATGAAAGCAAGAAAGGGCTGGACTTGGACTTTAGGACTTTAATCTTCTCATGTTCTTCATCCATGAGGTAGGGTTCCTCTAATTTAATTGCTATGTGTTATTTTATTTCATACTTTCCATACTTTACTCTTTCAAGTCCTTTATTGGATTTTCCATAAATTGGAATTGATTCTCTTGTTGTCATGTAATACCCGCTAATTTCGGAACACGGGTTGATCAAGTCTGCGCACAAAACCAGAGGATATCAAAACAATTAAAGTATTTAACAAGCACAGAATACAAAGATGAATGGTAAAGAATAAATAAACCGCTGAAGAAAACTAATAAATAAATATTACTTAATGATTCTCCAACAATTACAATTCGGAAATCCCATAACTCAAGGACCCCTTAAAACATTATCCAATAATCCAATACTATT